ATTGTATTGTTATGGACTTTGTTACAGGTTTTCCGAATACGGCGAGAGGATTTGACGCCATTTGGGTGATTGTGGATTGGCTTACGAAGTCTGCACACTTTGTACCGATCAGTATTAGCTTTCTGTTGGAGAAGCTGGCAGAGATTTATATTCGGGTAATTGTGAAGTTGCACGGTATACCGTTGAGCATTGTGTCGGATAGAGATCTGAGGTTTACTTCTGTGTTTTGGAAGAGTTTACAAGAGGCTTTGGGTACTGAGTTGAAGTTGAGTTCAGCTTATCATTCGCAGAAGGATGGGCAATCGGAGCGGACTATTCAGACTTTGGAGGATTTGTTGCGGGCTTGTGTGTTGGAGAAAGGTGGTATGTGGGATACTCATTTGCCTTTGGTAGAGTTCACGTATAACAACAGTTACCATTCTAGTATCGGGATGGCACCGTTTGAGGCTCTTTATGGTAGGAGGTGCAGGACTCCTTTGTGTTGGTATGAGTCGGGTGAGAGTGTGGTTTTGGGACCAGAGTTGGTACAGCAGACTACTGAGACAGTGCAGATGATCCGTGAAAAGATGAAAGCATCTTAGGATCGGCAGAAGAGTTATTATGATAACCGCAGGAAAGAGTTGGAATTCAGTGTGGGTGACCATGTATTCTTGAGGGTTAACCCAGTGACGGGTGTTGGACGTGCTTTGAAGTCCAAGTTAGAGAGAATCTAATTGTGGAGACATTGCCGTTGAAGATCGATGATCGCAAGATGAAGCGACTTAGAGGAAAAGAGATACCGTTGGTGAGAGTGACTTAGGGAGGTGCTGCAGGTGGCAGTGTGACCTGGGAATTGGAAAGCAGGATGCGGGAAGCGTATCCAGAGCTGTTTCCATCAGGTATTTTCGAGGACGAAAATAATTAAAGTGGGAGAGAGTTGTAACGCCCATTTTAATTATTTTTGGTTTTCGGGATTATTTTATTTGAGAATGTGCTTGAGGATTATTTTGAAGGATCAAGAACTCATGATATTGGTATACAGTGATAAAAATATGATATTTAATAGTAATGTGATATTATTATTAATTATTATCATTTTTGTTACTAATATTAATTTTATGAGTAAAATTATAATTTAAATGAATTTTTGGAATAAAAGTATTATGAGAAAATATTATTATGAGTTAATTGGATTAAAAAGGATTTTGGGGGTATTGAGGGTAACTTGGTCTTTTGCAAAATAGAAAGAGAAGGAGAAAGGAGAGAACTCGTACGAACACGAGAGGGAGGAAGAAGCAAGCAAGCAAGCGATCAAGGGAAGCAAGGCAAGAGCACGCGGGATTCGTGAAGATTTTAGGTGCTTCATCAACTTCAGAATCAAATTGGAGGTAAGGGAAGGGGGGATTTAACGGTTGTTTTGGGTATGTGCATGAATGTTGGTAGAAAGGGGAATCCCTAATCCCATGTATGAGATTACGGAATATTAAGGATGAATTGGTTGATTGCATGTTCTTGTTACTGATATTGTTGTGTTGTTTGATGTTTAAATCGTTGCATGTGTTAGGGATGTTAGATTGGATGAGTTTTGGGATTTTCGGTTAAGTTCGAAGTTGAGCCGGAAGTTGGTTTTGAGAGCAGAGTTGATGAATATTTGGATAGAATCGGGAATAGATCCATAGCTTAGTTGTAGTATGTTGTTAGTTGTGAGTTTTCGATTTAATCGAGCGAAATCGGTGTGGGAGGTGGCTCTGCAGCGCAGAATTTTTTTTGAGTACGCAGGTATTCGCTGGGCGAATAAGGGGCGAGCCTTTGCCAGGCTTCGCTGGGCGAACTAGCCAGCGAGTGCTGGCAGAAGCTTCTGTCTGGCTTCGCCAGAGGTTTCGCCAGGCGAATGGCAGCGAATGTTCGCTGCGGGGCTTCGCCGGGCGAATGTGCCAGCGAGCCCGACAGCAGTTTGTGTTTTTGCTGCTGTTTTGTGTTGTTTCCTTTGTGGACTTGGACCCTTGGTGGGCATGTTTGATGATGAGCTTGCTGGAGAGCTGAGGCGAGTGTATGTTGAAGGTTGTAGGGCTGTGTAGCCGGTGTTTACCACCTTAGACATAATCAGCGGATTATGTGTTAAGTCTCGATAATTGTGGATGTGTTTGTGAGATGTGTGCACGATGAGCTAAGTGTGTGAGATATGTGGATCGGTAAGATCGACACGCCTTGCGTGCTTTATGGTGATGTGTTGTGATGAGTGGATCCATAAGATCGGTACGCTGATTATGCATTGCATTTATATGTTGTTGTGGGATGTATTTGGGTCAGTAGGACCGACATGCCTTGTGTGCAATGTATGTGATAAGTTGTGTGGTGAGCGGATCCGTGGGATCGACGCACTTTGTATGCTTGTTATGTATGTATTTTGTGATGGGAATGGTTCCGTGGGATCGGTACGCCTTGTGCGTCGTGTATATATATATACTGTTTGATGAGTGGATCAATAGGATCAGTTTGCACTTGGTGTGCTAGATGTATGATGTGTGTGAATATGGTTGTGTGCTCCCGTAGAGGAGGGTGATGGCCTAGTGACCATCGGTATTTTTGGTGTGCTCCCTGTGAGGAGGGTGATGGCCAGTTGTCCATCGTTAATGTGTTGTGGTCCCGGTGAGGAGGGTGATGACCATGTATCCATCGATGTTGATGAGGTGCTCCCGTTGTGGAGGGTGATGGCTAGGTATCCATCAGTATTATTGTGGTGCTCCCATTGTGGATGGTTGATGGCCAGTTGCCCATCAGTGTGGTGTGCTCCCTGAATGGAGGGTTCATGGCCAGTTTCCCATCATTAATATGTGCTCCTGTATGGAGGGTTGATGGCCAGTTGCCCATCGTTAATATGTGCTCCTATGTGGATGGTTGATGGCCAGTTGCCCATCGTTGATATGTGCTCCTGTGTGGAGGGTTGATGGCCCGGTGCCCATCGTGATTGTGAGTCGGTATCGTATGTTAAGGGTTGTGTGAGTGCATTGTTGTGTGATTGTGTGTTGCGGTTGACGGTGGGGACCGTGAGTCTGAATGATATGTATATGAAATAGTATTATCATTGATTTCGGCCTTTTATTTCATGTACTATTTTACCATTATTATTTAATCGTAATTCTCACCCCCTTTGTTACTGTTGTGATCTGTGCTTCTTCGGAAGTACAGACAATCCAGGTGTTTAGCTAGTTGGATTGTGGTGTCTCCGTAGGACTGCTCTGATACGTAACACCGGGGCTTTTTTGGGAGTATTATTGTGTATTTTTGACATGTGTGCCCCCGTGGCGTATCTGATATTTTGTGAGATGTTTGATGTTGATCGGTGATGATGTTATGTATTTTGAGGCAGATGGCCGTTATTGTATATATGATGACGATGATGGATATGGATGATGTATGTATATGATATTTTGTGTTATGGAAGACCATATCTTTTTCCGCTGCAATTTTATTGAAAAATTCAGTTAAATTATTTGAATATATATATATATATATATATATATATATATATATATATATATATATATATATATATATATATATATATATATATATATATATATATATATATATATATATATATATATATATATATATATATATATATATATATATATATATATATATATATATATATATATATATATATATATATATATATATATATATATATATATATATATATATATATATTTGTGGAAATTTTGAGGTGTATTGTGGCATCCCGTTTGGGAGAGAAACTCTGATATGTGTTTTATTTGATTGTTTTATTTTATTTTGGGAACAGGGTGTTACACAAACCTCTAACGGCCCACGCAGGACTGAAGTCCCGTGGTGGACTCTCGGTCAGTTCGTTGACCTAACGCCCATATCTGGTCCGTTCATCTCGAAAGTTAGAAAAGTGACTCCTAGATCTGACGGTTTGGAGAGCGAGGCTATACAATAAAACAGGGGGGCATATGCAGAGCTACAAAGTGATGAGTCACTAGCCGGTGACATGTGTCACCAGTGATGGAATCTAAAAACACTAAACAAAAAGGGAAAGATGAATTCAAAATAAATCAAACGAATTTTCCTCTCTCTCGCTCAACAACTCTCTCTCTCTCCTTACCACTACTTTCTCTGTAAAACAAAAGGAGCGCTGAAAACCTACATCTCGCCGACCAGCTCCCTAAACACACCCTAATGTACCAAACTCAAAGTGCCGAGTCCAGATTTGGACTTACCTTTCCTCAAAAACTAACCCAAAATTCTTAAATCAGACGACAACCCTAAACCCTAAATCTAGAAAAGCATGTCCAAATCAAGCATTTGGGATGGGAATCCCATGTATTAAAGCACGAAGAATCTAGATCAAGGTTTAAATAAATGCTGGAAAAGAGAATACTCACCAAATCGGAGCGGTTCCAACCTCGGATTTCCGGCAAAGGTACAATCTCTAAACTATCCTTCCTTCTTCTGCTTTTTACCCTTTCACTTCTTGAACTTCTTTTAGATTTGAGTCATTGTTTATAGAGTGATCGTGTCTAAGCTCACGATATTTAGAACTTCTGTGAGAAGTTTAGAATATGCTGATTGTTCTTTTTGGGCCTTTTTTTGTGAATTAGAGTTTTCTTGAGGATTGATTTTTAGCCTAACAGTAGCCTTTTCTCTTAGGGTTTTCTTTTGCCTCCCCCGGTAATGATGAATAGTAAACCTTTATATAGGGCCACATTAGGGTTTTTGGTGTGTGAATTTGAAAATTGTACTGAGAAACTTGCTGATGAAAAATTCTGAGACTGATGAGTGGATCGCGTATGTACGATTTCTGCAGAAGTTGTTCCCTTGGGATTTGTCTGTTAGTGAATATTTAAATAGGGTCCCACTTAATTCTGTTTTATTATTACAACCCTGCAGATGTGTATTGGTTTTCTTGTTTTTTTAATGAATCTTGCCTTGAAACCTTTAGAATGGATTGAAATCGAACTTGAACCCCCTTTTTTTTGGATCACCATGTAAACTTAATTAGGATTGTCTTGATATGCTCTCATAAAAACTGACTTGGCTAGAAATAACATGAGGTTGTGCGTGTGCTGGATTTTAAAAATGATTTGTATGAATTGTGGTTCTTTTCTTTTTCTCTTGAATTTTTGCAGCATGACTTGAACTTTGAAACATGACACGGATAATAAATTGGTTGTGATTTGGATTTCTGAATTTGGGTCTTGAAATATGAATGATTCGAATTTGACAACATTTGAAATGTGTTGCTTACCTTGAAATTTTATTGAGTAACTTGAACGTTGATGCCGGTTTTGATAGCGATTCAAGATCAAATTTGCATTGATGAATTGAATCTTACTAACCCTTATTCTTTTCTTATTTTTCATGTGAATTGGAGTCTTCCGAGGAAAAAAATGGCCATGGGGGAAAAAGAATTTGAAGTAGCTTGTCATGGAGAAGAAAATTCATAGGTCGCTCCTTTGGGTTCGATGTTGTTGCGACTCCCTTAGGCTTAGAAATTAAAATTTCTTTTTGAGTCTAGCTTAACCTTGTAGATTTCGCATTCTAATGTTGACCTTGTAATTTTTTTACATCAAAAGAGTTTGTTTGGAACATTGTTATGAACAGAATGAATGATATTCGAGTTTGACATGAAATTGAAACTTGTCATTGAACTATGTCTTAAAACTTGATTTTATAAGGAATTTCGATGAGAGTTGGAGTTTGAAATTGAGCTCACAATTAGAAATGAACTAGGGATCATAACCTTGAATTTGGGTCTAATTTTAGAATTTGAATACACTAGGTACATGGAATTTGTGTTGGTAACTTGAATCTGTATTGAGTACAAAATCTTAGCATGAAGTTGAATTATGGATTCGTCCCTTAAAAAGTTCCATCTAGACAAAATGATAACTTGATTTTTTTTGAAGGAAATAGGGACATGAAATTGAATTGAATGCTTAAAATGGAATTGTTGACTTTAGAAATTAAAATTGGTAAATATTTGAAAGAAATGGACAAGACTGTAACTTAGCGAGGGATTTAGTTTGGAATTAATGAATTCAAATCTTGAAATTTGAATTCTTTGACAAGAAAATTAGGCTTTGATTATGAACTTGAAGTTCTCAAAATAATTTGGATTCGAAATAATGAAGTTCACAACTTGGAATTTTGAATAGAATAAAATTCACAACTTAGAGTTAAATTTCCAACCTATACTCATGATTTCAAATCGGCATCCACTTAGTTACAACTTAATCCTTTTTTCGTCTCAAAGATACTAAGGTTCGAAAGTATGATTATTGAGCATCATAATTCCATTAAGCATCAAACTTGACTTTCTAGAACACACAAATAAACAACCTATCTCAGACCCACACATGGAAGCAAATGAATCTCTCTTCGAGAAATTCACAATGCTAGGACCATCAAGTAAGTATGTAAAAAATCTTTTCCCTAGATTTCCAAGGACCAAATTAAATTTCCTCTTGATAATTTGTGCCTGAAGAAAATACTTAGCCAAATCCAGACACTCGTCTTGAAGCACCCCTTCCTCCCTTTCTACTCAAATGCCTGATTTGAACCAAAGGATGATGAAAATAATGAATGTAGGAGATATGCAAGACTAGGGTGAAAATGAGGGTGTGACAGTATGTCGTTATCTGAGGATCGGGGCTATCGTGGAGCTCTTCTTCTGCATCTTTCAGCTGTAGAGGAACACCTCTGAGTCAAAGCAAAGTTAGGTATCTTTTAAATAGCAGAGTAGGCTGTTTTGGCCCTATTCGGAGTCTGTTTGAAATTTCAAGTTCAGGTTTCTGGTTGTAAAACCTCTTTCAGAGGCGGCCAAGAGTTTCCTGGTTACCATGGAGATTATGGTTGAGGATGGTCAGGAGGTGGTACGACTTATATTGAAGTTTCTGCTGGAGTGAGTGTATGCATATTATATATGTAAGACCAACCAGTTCCTTGTTAAGCACGATCAGTTGTGCACCAAGGACAGGAAATCTCTTTGAGCGTTGACAACATTTGTGGAGAGTTTCACCCCTGCCACTGTGGTGGACAAGGATGGTAACCTGCTCTATGCTGAGGACGGGGAGCCTGCTCAGGCGGCCTGTTACATAAACACCAAATCCCTCATTGACTGTGAAACAGAGGCTGAGGCTTTTGAACTTTTAGGTACAAATGATTGAATTTTCTTGCACTTCTTGATGTTTTGGTGTCGTGCTAACTCTTTTTTCTTTATAGGAAAAGCGTCGAACTTGCATGAACGCCTTGTCAAGTTTGCCGCAGCTAAAAATGTCAAGAAGGTTTCAACCACGAGGGTGGATGCGATCAGACAGTAGGTGACACTGGAGAAGTCTGTGGGTGGCTCTTCACCTTCTCTAGAAAGCACCTCTAATCCTCCTACCCCGGATCCTTAGAAGAAAAAGAAATGGGACGGTCTCGGTTCTTCTTCGGATGAAGGCTCAGGTGGATTTGTTAGAGGAAAATTCACCCTGCCGCCCTGCTATCTGCAGGACAAGATCTTTGATGGGGAAGGATTCGTGGTTGTTCCCGACCTAGAGGGGTTGGCCATATTGTATGCTGACCCAAAGGTAAGGAGGGTGCTCCTTTAACGTGATGCTGCAACGATGATGAGGGTGTTGAAGTAGGCCTTGGCCCTGGGCGCGTGGAGACAAACCCGCTTAAGGAGTTCAAGAAAGTACAAGCCAAGGAGGCCAAACTCGAGTTGGAAACAATTGAGTTGTTTAACAAGCTGACGGCCTTCCAGAGCAACTATGAGGCCAAGGTCGTACTCCTAAAAGATATGAACGAAATGACAGAGGAGATGAAGAAAATTAAGGAAGATAATGACAGCTTGAAGGCTAGGGTAGCGAAGCTGGAAGACTCATCAGCAGCGGGGCCGGATGAAACTGAGGAGGAGAAATCCCTGAAGACCCGACAAGAGATATTCAACAAGATCCGCATCCTCAAGAAGGACTCCCTCGGAGCTGCCTAGTTCGGATTCAATGTTGCAGTGGAGCAGATGAAGGTCTTGAACCCCGACGTCCAGCTGGTTACTAAAGGGATGGGCGTTCTGCACCAGGTGGTCGACGGACAGGTGGTCCCTTCAGTAATTCCTGCTGATGATGTTTGATTGTTCTTTATAACTTTGTGTATTTTGGCTTATTTGCCATTTTTATGTAAATTCGGATTGTTGGGCATGACCCTTGTTTTTGTAATATTTAGACAATTTCCAGCCCGGTGGTCGGGTTTTTATGTATAAAGACATGTTTATTCGATATTATATGCCTTAATATGTATTGTTCTTAGTTTTTCTTACGAGTTGTGTCCGTTGAATAAGAGTTTGCTTGACTCTCTGTGATGCTCCACAATTTGGGGAACTTGTCAAGTGAGTGAAGTATTTTTCCCTGTCGTGGGACTAGGATCTCGGTTGAGGTCCTGATTGCATAGAACTTGGACTTTCCCATCGCGAGCTGGGTGTCCTGCCACACTGGTATGATAACGGTGGACCTCGATTGAGGTATCCCCGTTAGGCCCAGAATCTGCTCGTTTCATGAGCAGAAACTTGCCTTTTTTATGTTTGAGGATTATGCTTGCACCAGGGCACGCTCCCTTGGTTGTACGTGCTTCTTTATGTGAGATGAAGTCGTCGGAGGTTAGTCCTAATTTCATTAACACTAAATTTAATATTGTTTGAGCTTTTCAGCATTCCATGGTCGAGCAAATGGTTCTCCGTTTAGGTGTTCGAGGTAGTAGGCTCTAGTGCTTGTTTTTGACCTCACCCGGTAAGGGCCTTTCCAATTTGCGGCCAGCTTGCCTTCGCGTGAATCTTTTTGATTTTCGCATAGGACCTGGATACCCACTTGGAAGTCGCTCTTTATGACCTTAGAGTCATGGCGCATCGTTATTTTTTTGCTTTAGTGAAGCTTCGCAGAGAGCTTCCCTTGATCGGATCTCTTTGACTAGGTCGAGTTCTTCTCGTAATGCTTCGTCATTCATTTCCTCGTAGAGAGGGGCCTCTGTCTGTCTAGAGGGTTCTCTAATTTCCACTAGGATTACTGCCTCAGTTCCGTATGCTAATCGGAAGGGATTTTCCCCGGTGGTAGAGAGCGGGGTTGTTTTGTATGTCCAGAGCATACTATGTAGCTCCTCGACCCACCTCTTTTTGGCTTCGCCTACCTTCGTTTTAGTCCGCGAATGATCACCCTATTCGCGGCCTTTGCTTGTCTGTTGGTATGGGGTTTTTGATAGACGCGAAATGTTACTTGGTGCCTAGTTTGGCAACGAAATCTTAAAATTTCCTATCCGTGAATTGGATCCCTTTGTCAGTTACGAGGGCCTGGGGCAAACCAAATCGCACGAGGACATTTCTTTTGTAAAAAAGAAGTATGTTAAATGTCGTGATTTTGGCGAGGGCCTCAGCTTCGATCCACTTTGTGAAGTAGTCAATGGCCACAATCAGAAATTTGTTCTAATAGGATCCCACGGTGAAGGGGCCGAGTATGTCCATCCCTCACCAGGCGAAAGTCCATGGGGAAGACATGGTCTTTAATTCGTTGGGGGGGTGCTAAGTGTATTTCCTCGTGGCATTGGCATCTGTCGCATTTCTTGACATGCTCATTCGTGTCATGCTGCATGGTTGACCAATAGTATCCCGCTCGAAAGGTTTTTTGTGCCAAGGATCTTCCTCCTAAGTGTTGTGCGTTGATCCCATCGTGAATTTCTTGGAGAATGTATGGGACCTTGTTCTCCTCAACACATTTTAGAAAGGGAATGTAGAATCCTTGCTGGTAGAGCTTGCCTTCGACTAGGACGTAGAAGCAGACCCTTCGCTTAATTATGTTGGTCTTTTTACTATCTTCGGGCAGCTTTCCTGTGGTGAGATAGTCATGCAACGGAGTCATCCAACAATTATTGTCGCCGATGGCGTTGACGTCGAGAAGTCCTGTTGGTTTTATGATGCTTGGACGTGTCTCTTGTATAATATACTTGTTGCCATTTTTCCTCCTTGTGCTAGTTAACTTCGACAGGATGTCTTCCCGAGCGCTTCTTTCGTAGGGAATTTGCTGGACTTCCCATGCTTCGAACTTGGCTATCTTTTCTTGCACCAGCGTTAGGTATTCGAATATGTGATCGTTTTTGGCCTGGTATTTCCCCTAGGAGGCCACGAGATGAGAGCCCGTGAAAATTTTTATTTCCTTTGCGCTCAGGTCCTCAGCCACTTGTAAGCCTGCAAGGAATGCTTCGTACTCGACTTGATTGTTCTAGGTTAGGAAGGACAAGACCAACAGAACTTTAATCAGGATCCCTTCTTTGCTCTCAAGGATGATGCTTGCCCCGCCGCCCGTGGAACTAGAAGCTCCATCGACAAAAATAGTCCACCTGTGCGCCCCGCTGGAGGAGCTTGAAGAAAGGCAGGGCGTGTTAGGCATATTTGGCCACGAAG